AGAAAACACTATGATTCTGATGGTGTATATGGTGTTAGCAAATGGCAGAAGTGTGTTAGCCCTACAAATATCAGATACTACACTGTGATTATATTATATCCATACTAATTTATCTAACGGCTAGTTTTCAGCAGAATTTGACTAGTTTTCTGGTACTAACAAACTTAATTGTTTAACAAATTATATGTATAGACTTCATTTAGAATATTATCTATTTCGTCGGGGCTATCTAGACACTAGATTAGTACGCAAAGTGGGGGCGTACACTAACGTGCCAGCATATTTTATAATTCAATGAGTACACAGTTAGTTTCTGTGACAAACGGTTGTATCATGTAGAGGGGCTGAGATCCTGATGAGCGTATAAAATTTTTGTATAATGGGGGGTTTTCCAAAATTTGTGTGTTGAGTGTTATTTTTTCTCTCTGTGGTTTGAACTAGATGGACTACAGACTAACTATGTAAACTATGTTATAAGGATAATTTCTTGTATTGCAGGCCATGTGGAGTCGATATTTTCCTGTGTATGATCAGATCCGTTCCCTTTTATCCCAGAAGACCATAGGGGATGTAAAGGTTGTCCGGGCAGAATTTTGGCTCTAACCAGAATCATGTCCCCGGGCAGTGAGAAAGGAGCTGGGAGGAGGGGCACTGCTGGATATTGGCTGCTACTGTCTCCAGTTTGCATTGATGGTATTTAAAGGTGAAAAGCCGGAATCAGTGACTGCCAAAGGTTTTCTGTATGAGACTGGTAAGTGTATGAATGCAGATCACTGGTATTTGTCTACAATGGAATGACTAATATATCCTCATATTAGTTTTGGCAAACTACAACCATTTATATAATTAAAATGTACTCTTTACAATAATATCACCATGCCATAGCTATTTCTGCCCATTTCATCTTTCTCTCAATAGGTGTGGATGAAACTGTGACAATTATTCTTCAATATTCAGGAAACCGCCAAGCAATTCTGACCTGCACTATCATGGTGGCAATGCCAAACCAGGCAGCCATTTGTGGCTCAACAGGAATGATTCAGGTATTTACATTCTGTAAAAAAAGAAAACTGTCTCACGTGACAACATAGTATGGCCATGGTATGTGTTATTAAAAGGGCTGTGTGGTCTGTACAGTGTTTTTTTTTTTTATAAGAGACATGAAACTAGATCAGATTGATTTCAATAATCTCAAGAATGTATGTTAATGTCTTAAAAAAACTTGTTTCTAGATTCCTAATTTCTTCCTACAACATGCTCCATACTCCATGTCCTCACAATTAATATGGCCACCCTCTGGCTGCACTCTCTAACCCACATTTTCAATCTCTCTTCAATCTCTTATGCCATCTTCCCTCCCCCCCCCAAAAAAAAAATGCACTGGTCACACGCATAGTTAAAAAAAAGCTCTGGACCCCAACAGTCCGAACAACTTGAGACCCATCTCCTTGTTTCCACAAACTTCTAAAACTTTACTGACAACAACCCTTCTCAATCTTTTATGGTCCAGCTTTTGCCCACAACACTACACAGAAACTGCCCTGCTAAAACTCACTAATGATTTACTAACTGCTAAAACCAATGAACACTACTGCATATTCATGCTATTAGATCTTTCTCCTGCCTTTGACACCTTTTTTTCTTTACTCCCTTGGGCTCCAGGACTCTGCTCTTTTTTGGTACCCCTCCTACTTAAGTGCACCATATGTATCACCTACAAATCTATCTCCTCTTTTGATTTGCAAATGACAAGTATATATAACTGGACTGCATGTGTTCAATACTGGTAGCTGCTGCTTATTCTGTATGTGATTATTGTATCAACATATGTTACTTTTTGCTAGATTCCTTCGTGCATGTGGTGCCCTACCTCTGTTATACTCAATGGCAAAGAAACGCATTTTCCCCTTCCACATTCCAGTAAGCCTATGCATTTTACAAACAGCACAGGACTTAGCTACGAGGCCGAGCATGTGCGCCAGTGTCTGTTAAAAGGTACCATTCAAGATCACGTGATTTACATTTTCCACTGATGCTCCCTACAGTGCATTTGTATTCAGCCCCCTTTACTCTGATACCCCTAACTAAAATATAGTGGAACCAATTGCCTTCAGAAGTCACCTAATTAGTAAATCGAGTCCACCTGTGTGTAATTTAATCTCAGCATAAATACAGCTGTTCTGTGAAGCCCTCAGGAGGTTTGCTAGAGAACATTAGTGAACAAACAGCATCATGAAGGCCAAGGAACACACCAGACAGGTCAGGGATAAAGTTGTAGAGAAGTTTAACCACTTGCCCTCCAAAGTATTTACCCCCCTTCTCTTGACAAGGCCATTTTTTTGTGTTCCAGCATTGCGTTAGTTTAACTGACAATTGCGCAGTCATGCAACGCTGCACCCAAAATTAAATTTATGTCCTTTTTTTCCACGAATAGAGCTTTCTTTTGGTGGTATTTAATTTCCTGTGCGTCTTTTAGTTTTTGCACTATAAAGAAAAAAAAGACCAACAATTTTGAGAATTAAAAACTATATTTTTGCTATTAAAACATGTCTAGTAAATAAAAATGAAAAAATCAAATTTCATCATAAATTTAGGCCAAAATGTATTCTGCTACATGTCTTTGCTAAAAAAAAATCCCAATACATGTAAGTTAATTGGTTTACGTGAAATTTATAGCATTTACAAATGGCGGTATAGATACTGGGATTTTTTTTTATTTTTATTTTTTATTTTTACTAGTAATGGCGGAGATCAGCGATTTATAGCTAGACTGCGGCACTGGGAGGAACTGACTTGGTGTCACTGACATCCCCAGTAATACCAATACAGAAATCAGTGCTAATAAAAAGCACTGACACTGTACTAATGGCACTGGGCAGGAAGGGGTTAACATGTGGCATGATCAAAGGGTTAACTGTGTGCTGTTTTACACTGTGTGGCTGTGTTTGCGTGCGCGCCCCTACCATGGAAATTCAAAATATCTCTCTCTATATATATATACTGTGTATATACAGTGGGGCAAAAAAGGATTTACTCAGCCACCATTTGTGCAAGTTCTCCCAATTAAAGAGATGAGAGAGGCCTGTAATTGGCATCATAGGTAGACCTCAACTATGAGAGACAAAATGGGAAAACAAATTCAGACAATCACATTGGTTGATTTGGAAAGAATTTATTTGCAAATTATGGTGGAAAATAAGTATTTGGTCACCTACAAACAAGCAAGATTTCTGGCTCTCACAGACCTGTACCTTCTTCTTTAAGAGGCTCCTCTGTCCTGCACTCATTACCTGTATCAATGGCACTGTCAGGAATGGACTGGCCAGCAATAGTGGGACTCAGCTGCCTTATGAGCTGCAGTACCAGGGCTGGCCAGCGGGTGCTCCCAGCAATCAGAGACTCAACCTTGCAGCCAGTCAAACACCTGGAACTAATTATACTGGGGTATTTAAGGGACATTCAGACCTGCAGACTCAGCCTTGGTGTTGTGTTTCTCTTGGGCCCTATATCCTGTTCCTGCTCTCTGTTCCTGTCTGATTCTCTGCTGACCCTGCTCTGATCCCTGGCTTGTCTGACCATTCTCCTCTGCCTGACCCTCTGTACCACGCTGCCCGCTACCTGCTGAACCTGGCCTGTGACCCCGACCATTCTCCGCTTGCTCCCCCTGTACCTACCTGCCCGACTGATATTGACCCGGCCTGCCTGACGACGCTTGCATTGTATGTACTGTTATCTGTGGGTGGTTGGTTGGTTTGTTTGCACTGTGTTATGTTTTAGTATTGCACTGCGTTTATGTTTGTATGGTTAGTGTTAATAAATTACATTGTTTATAACATATCTGAAGTCTGCGTTTCCCTGCGTCAGTCACACACCTCTGGTCATACCCGGGGCCCCTGACATTACACCAAGGCCAATCCTGACCAGAAGTGGCTGCACAGGGAAGCCATCTTGGCTTGTTGATGGGAAGGATGGATCTGGATGAGGTTGCGTATTTATATCTGCTAGTGTTTGATGACAGGGAGTATGCTTATCAAACTCTGAAGGAGTATACCCGGGATGAACTGCTAGAATGTATATGGCTCGCTCATGTTCTAGTAGATCAGGGCACAGAGTTCTCTGAGGTGCAGCCTTTGATTGAGGTTTGTGCTGAGTTGGTTTCATCTGGTACCCCCGAATGCAGGGATGAATTTTTGCCACCATTTAGTGCAGACCAGGTAGTAGAGTCCCTGGTGTGGTTATTAGAGGATGATGTGGGTTACTTTCTGGAGCGTTATTCCACATGTTCACCACAGGTACTAAGAGATTGTATAAACGCAGATTGGTCAGACAGGCTTTGTGTAAGCTCAGCTTTTGTTCAACCCATACTGCAGACATGGACAGATTTTGTTACACCCAGCCTCAGTCAGCTTACAAAGACCCAGTCCTGCTTCTAATCTATCTCCTCAAAGCTCTACTCCTGTATTCCCAACAGCTCCTCCAGTTACAGCCCAGTATACTTGGCTATCTACCGCATGTCAGTACCCTGTTCCCACTCGCTGCACCACCTATCCTGCCTTTAACCCTGTAAAGAAGCCCTCTGTAGTGACTGTTCCTTCCCCTGTTCCATCCTCCTCCAGCTCTTCTCTGTCTCCAGCTGCTCCATTCATTTGCAGACCTGCGTTTACTTGCAGTGCCCCAGTAGTTAAAACCAGAAAAAAGCGAAAATTCTTTCCAACCAATACCATCCTGCCAGTATCCAAACCGGTGAACCTGCCTTCCGTGGTTCAGCCTGAAGCCTCTACTCAGCCTGAATCCTCTACTCAGCCTGATGCCTGTACTCAGCCTGATTCCTGTACTCAGCCTGATGCCTGTACGCAGCCTGATGCCTGTACGCAGCCTGATGCCTCTCTTCAGCCTGAAGCCTCTACTCGGCCTGAAGCCTCTACTCGGCCTGATGCCTCTATTCGGCCTGATGCCTCTACCCAGCATGATGAACTGATCCAGCCTGACGATCCTATTAGGCCAGTTGACTCGATGCCCGCTGTTGATCCAGATGATCCGGTACCTGATCCGGTGCCCGCTGTCGTGCCAATTGACTCAGAGCCCGCTGTCGTACCTGAAGACTCGGTGCCCACTGCCTTGCCAGATGACGCGGTGTCCGCTGGCGAGCCAAATGACCTGATGCCTGGTGACCCAGTGCCCGCTGTCATACCTGGTGACCCGATGCCCGCTGTCGAGCCAGACGATCCAATGCCTGGTGACCCGGTGCCCACTGCCTTGCCAGATGACGCGGTGCCCGCTGGCAAGCCAAATGACCTGATGCCTGTTGACCCAGTGCCCGCTGTCATACCTGGTGACCCGATGCCCGCTGTCGAGCCAGACGATCCAATGCCTGGTGACCCGGTGCCCACTGCCTTGCCAGATGACGCGGTGCCCACTGGCAAGCCAAATGACCTGATGCCTGGTGACCCAGTGCCCGCTGTCATACCTGGTGACCTGATGCCCGCTGTCGAGCCAGACAACCCGGTACCTGATGACCCGGTGCGCACTGTCGTGCCTGTTGACTCGGAGCCCACTGCCTTGCCAGATGACGCGGTGCCCGCTGTCGAGCCAAATGACCTGTTGCCCTGGTGACCCGATGCCCGCTGTCCAGCCAGACGATTCAATGTCTGCCCCAGTGCCCGCGGTCATGCCAGTTGACTCGGAGCCACTGCCTTGCCAGATGACGCGGTGCTCGCTGTCGAGCCAAATGACTTGATGCCTGGTGACCCAATGCCCGCTGTCCAGTCAGACGATCCAATGTCTGACCCAGTGCCCGTGGTCATACCAGTTGACTCGGAGCCCACTGTCGTGCCTGGTGACTCGGTGCCCGCCGCTTCGCCTGGGGGCCCGAGACCTGTCGCTCCGCCTGGGGGCCCGAGACCTGTCGCTCCGCCTGGGGGCCCGGCGCCCGCCGCTCCGCCTGAGGGCCCGAGACCTGTCGCTCCACCTGGGGGTCCGGCGCCCGCCGCTCCGCCTGAGGGCCCGAGACCTGTCGCTCCATCTGGGGGTCCGGCGCCCGCCGCCTCCGCCTGAGGGCTCCGCCTGGGGGTCCCGCCCGCCGCTCCGCCTGCCGGATTTGCCCCGCCTGGGGGCCCGATGCCTGTCGCCCCGCCTGGGGGCCCGATGCCTGTCGCCCCTCCTGGGGGCCCGGCGCCCGCCGCTCCGCCTGGGGGCCCGATGCCGGTTGCGCCCCGCCCGGGGCCCGATGCCTGTTGCCCCGCCCGGGGGCCCGGTGCCTGCTGCTCCGCCCGGGGCCCGGTGCCTGCTGATCCGCCCGGGGGCCCGCTGCCTGCTGCCCCGCCTGGGGCCCAGTGCCTGCTGCTCCGCCTGGTGGCCCGCTGCCTCGCTGCTGCCTGGGGCCGCCTGGTAATCCGATGTGCCTCTGCCCGGAGTCCTGCCCGATGTGCCTCTGCCCGGAGTCCTGCCCGATGTGCCTCTGCCCGGAGTCCTGCCCCGCCCGGTGCCTCTGCCTGGAGTCCGCCCGGGGTGCCTGCCTGCTGCCCCCGTGTGCCTCTGCCCGATGTGCCTCTGCCCGGAGTCCAGCCCGATGTGCCTCTGCCCGGAGTCCAGCCCGATGTGCCTCTGCCCGGAGTCCAGCCCGATGTGCCTCTGCCCGGAGTCCAGCCCGATGTGCCTCTGCCCGGAGTGCCTCTGCCCGGAGTCCAGCCCGATGTGCCTCTGCCCGGAGTCCAGCCTCTTGCCCGATGTGCCTCTGCCCGGAGTCCAGCCCGATGTGCCTCTGCCCGGAGTCCTGCCCGATGTGCCTCTGCCCGGTGTGCCGCTGCCCGGAGTCCTGCCCGGTGTGCCAGTCTTTGATATCCCGCCAGTTACCAGACCCGGGCGGTGGAACATTTTGCCCAGCTAGGACTGTTTGGAGCGTCCTGAGGCCGCTCCTTGAGGGGGGGGGTACTGTCAGGAATGGACTGGCCAGCAATAGTGGGACTCAGCTGCCTTATGAGCTGCAGTACCAGGGCTGGCCAGCGGGTGCTCCCAGCAATCAGAGACTCAACCTTGCAGCCAGTCAAACACCTGGAACTAATTATACTGGGGTATTTAAGGGACATTCAGACCTGCAGACTCGGCCTTGGTGTTGTGTTTCTCTTGGGCCCTGTATCCTGTTCCTGCTCTCTGTTCCTGTCTGATTCTCTGCTGACCCTGCTCTGATCCCTGGCTTGTCTGACCATTCTCCTCTGCCTCACCCTCTGTACCACACTGCCCGCTACCTGCTGAACCTGGCCTGTGACCCCGACCATTCTCCGCTTGCTCCCCCCTGTACCTACCTGCCCGACTGATATTTGACCCGGCCTGCCTGACGACGCTTGCATTGTATGTACTGTTATCTGTGGGTGGTTGGTTGGTTTGTTTGCACTGTGTTATGTTTTTAGTATTGCACTGCGTTTATGTTTGTATGGTTAGTGTTAATAAATTACATTTTTTATAACATATCTGAAGTCTGCGTTTCCCTGCGTCAGTCACACACCTCTGGTCATACCCGGGAGCCCTGACAGGCACCTGGTTGAACTTGTTATCAGTATAAAAGACACCTGTCCACAACCTCAAACAGTCACACTCCAAACTCCACTATGGTGAAGACCAAAGAGCTGTCGAAGGACACCAGAAACAAAATTGTAAACCTGCACCAGGCTGGGAAGACTGAATCTGCAATAGGCAAGCAGCTTGGTGTGAACAAATCAACTGTGGGAGCAATAATTAGAAAATGGAAGACATACAAGACCACTGATAATTTCCCTCGATCTGGGGCTCCACGCAAGATCCCACCCCGTGGGGTCAAAATGATCACAAGAACGGTGAGCAAAAATCCCAGGACCACACGGGGGGACCTAGTGAATAACCTGCAGAGAGCTGGGACCAACATAACAAAGGCTACCATCAGTATCACACTACGCCGCCAGGGACTCAGATCCTGCAGTGCCAGATGTGTCCCCCTGCTTAAGCCAGTACATGTCCGGGCTCATCTGAAGTTTGCTAGAGAGCATTTGGATGATCCAGAAGAGGACTGGGAGAATGTCATATGGTCAGATGAAACCAAAATAGAACTGTTTGGTAGAAACACAACTCGTCGTGTTTGGAGGAGAGAGAATGCTGAATTGCATCCAAAAGAACACCATATCTACTGTGAAGCATGGGGATGGCAACATCATGCTTTGGGGCGGTTTCTCCGCAAAGGGACCAGAACGACTGATCCATGTACAGGACAGAATGAATGGGGCCATGTATCATGAGATTTTGAGTGCAAACCTCCTTCCATCAGCAAGGGCATTGAAGATGAAACGTGGCTGGGTCTTCCAACATGACAATGATCCCAAACATACTGCCCGGGCAATGAAGGAGTGGCTTCGTAAGAAGCATTTCAAGGTCCTGGAGTGGCCTAGCCAGTCTCCAGATCTCAACCCCATAGAAAACCTTTGGAGGGAGTTGAAAGTCCGTATTGCCCGGCGACAGCCCCAAAACATCACTGCTCTAGAGGAGATCTGCATGGAGGAATGGGCCAACATACCAGCAACAGTGTGTGCAAACCTTGTGAAGACTTACAGGAAATGTTTGACCTCTGTCATTGCCAACAAAGGATATATAACAAAGTATTGAGATGAACTTTTGATATTGACCAAATACTTATTTTCCACCATAATTTGCAAATAAATTCTTTCCAAATCAGCCAATGTGATTGTCTGGATTTTTTTTTTTCATTTTGTCTCTCATAGTTGAGGTCTACCTATGATGCCAATTACAGGCCTCTCTCATCTTTTTAAGTGGGAGAACTTGCACAATTGGTGGCTGACTAAATACTTTTTTGCCCCACTGTTTATATATATATATATATATATATATATATATATATATACACACACACACACACACACACACACACACATATATATATATATACACACACGTGAATTTGCATACCCATGCCGCCTTGTAGCAGTACTTCTGCTATAGGGCGGATGGAAAGCGGTTAAAACAGGGTTAGGTTATAAAAAAATATCCCAAGCTTTGAACATCTCACAGAGCACTGTTCAATCCATCATCCAAAAATGGAAAGAAGAGTGTGACACAACTGCAAACCTACCAATACATGGCTGTCCACCTAAACTGACAGGCCGGGCAAGGAGAGCATTAATCAGAGAAGCAGCCAAGAGGCCCATGGTAACTCTGGAGGAGCTGCAGAGATCCACAACTCAGGTGGGAGAATCTGTCCACAGGACAACTACTGTATTAGTCGTGCACTCCATAAATCTGGCCTTTATGGAAGAGTGGCAAGAAGAAAGCCATTGTTGAAAGAAAGCCATAAGAAGTCCAGTTTGCAGTTTGTGAGAAGCCATGTGAGGGACACAGCAAACATGTGGAAGAAGGTGCTCTGGTCAGGTGAGACCAAAATTGAACTTTTTGGCCCAAAAGCAAACGCTTTGTGTGGCGGAAAACTAACACTGCACATCACTCTGAACACACCATCCCCACCGTGAAACATGGTGGTGGCAGCATCATGTTGTGGGGATGCTTTTATTCAGCAGGGAGAGGGAAGCTGGTCAAAGTTGATGGGAAGATGGATGGAGCCAAACACAGGGCAGCCAGAACTTCAATGGAATGGTTTAGATCAAAACATATTCATGTGTTAGAATGGTCCAACCAAAGTCCAGACCTAAATTTAATTGAGAATCCATGGCAAAACTTGAAAATTGCTGTTCACAGACCCTCTCCATCCAATCTGACTGAGCTTGAGCCATTTTGTAAAGAGGAATGGGCAAAAATTTCACTTGCTAGACATACACTGCAGCTGTAATTGCAGCGAAACGTGGTTCTACAAAGTATTGACTCAGGGGGGCTGAATACTAATGCACTCCACACTTTTCACATATTTATTTGTAAAAAATGTTGAAAATCAATTTCCTTCCACTTCACAATTATGTGCCACTCTGTGTAGGTCTATCACATAAAACTCCAACATAATACATTTACATTTTTGGTGGTAACATGACAAAATACAGAAAATTTCAAGGGGTATGAATATTTTTTCAAGGCATTATATGTTGTGCTCAAATGCGATTTTGTGATTTTAGGACTGAAAGAAAGTCCATTAATGACCCTGGCAGACAGTGAGCTCCTGCACACCATCATGGATGAAGTTCGCAAGCAACTTGAAGTGCGTTTCCAACAAGACAAAGTCTTATGATAAAGGAGTGGTCTTTTAGATTTATGACTTTGACACAAAAACATTTATTAATAATCAGATACAAAATAATGTAATGATTGGAATCCTGCATGGGTGTTTGCATCATTTTTAGCATAATGATAAATTATACACTGCTCAAAAAAATGAAAGGAACACTTTTTAATCAGAGTATAGCATCAAGTGAATTAAACTCATGGGATATTGATCTGGACAGTTGAGTAGCAGAGGGGGTTGCTAATCAGTTTAAGCTGCTTTGGTGTTAATGAAATTAACAACAGGTGCACTAGATGGGCAACAATGAGAGGAACCCAAAACTGGAATGGTTTTACAGGTGGAGGCCACTGCCATTTTTTCCCCTACTCATCTTTTCTGTTTTTTACTAGTTTTGCATTTGGCTAGGGTCAGTGTCACTACTGGTATCATGAGGCGATACCTGGACCCTACAGAGGTTGCACAGGCAGTCCAACTGCTCCAGGATGGCACATTAATACGTGCCATTGCCAGGTTTGCTGTGTGGAGGAGATTCCAGGAGACAGGCAGTTACTCTAGGAGAGCTAGACAGGGCCGTAGAAGGTCCTTAACC